GAGGATACTTTTAACTGTAAAACACTCGAAAATCTATACAGGCTCAATGTGGCATTTATATCAAAATGGTGACGTAAGAGCCATTTTCTCCGATTACAATATGGCGGCACTATGACGTCATCTATAGAAATATTTGAATAGAACTGGCCGATACTTGATGAAAATCCATATTAAAAAACTAATTAATACAGTTTATTAATTGTTGAAAAAGTTATTTTATATCCAATCAAATGATCAAAAAAACAGTACTTCATACCATTTTTTGGCTATATAACCTTCCACAATCTGAAAAATAAACGAAGGTGAATCTATACTAATAAATGCGAAAGTCACACATTCATCTGCGTTTCTCCGTACTGGTCAGTCCCACAAGGCTAAAATTTGGTATATATAATATTGGTTCATAGGAATTAGACACGCAATAAAGGATTTTCAAATATTCCAACTGGAGCGCCAGCCGCGGGGGAAAAAGTGGTGTTCATAAAATTAAGTTACTTTTTTATCACTGTTTCTCCGTACCAGTATATGTTCAGAGGCTAAAATTTTGTATGTAGGTTTATTTCATCTTGCAGATCTGAGAAAAAAAAATTTGAATATTCCAACTGGAATATAAACAACTGGATAAAAGTGTACCGATTATATATGAAATTTACCTTTTCATCACTGTTCTATGTACCGCTATATTTTCGGAGACTAAAATTTTGTATGTTGGCTCGTTTCATGTTGTTAATGTGCGATAAAAAAGGATTTTCAAATATCTCAACTAGGGAGCCAGAAGTAGGGGAATAAGAATCGTTCATAATATAAAGTTACCTTATCATTACTGTTTTTCCATACCGGTATATTGTCAGAGGCAAAAATGTTTTATGTAGGTTGGTATCATGTCGTAGATGTGCAATAAAAAAAGAAAGAGTTACATTTTCAACACTGTACCTCCGTACCAGTATATTTTCGAAGGCTGAATTTTTTTATGTAGGTTCGTTTAATCTCATAGATTTGCAATAAAAAGGAACCGTTCACATATGAAATTTACCTTTTCATCACTGTTTCTACGTACCGCTATATCTTTGACAGACAGACAGACATACAGACATTTTTATTGACCATAAAATCACCAATTTGAATCGGGTTGACAGGTCATAAAACTTAAAAATACAATCGAAAAATAACATTGCAACAGTAATAATATGTGTCATATAGGACAACATAGAAGTGCAGATTACCATTATAATAAATTGTAAATTTTTAAATTTTGACATAATAAAGAGAGTTCATCAGCTCATCTCACCCTTGTAGGAATGACTGATTCCAATCAATTTTATTACCTCGTAATCCTATCAAAATTGAGGCCATCGAAGGCACGCGAGAGGTCAAAAAACAGTCCGAGAATAAACTCATTTTTATCCATCTGATCTTCCACAATACCAACAAAAAATCTGCCAAAAATGTTTGCAACTTCAATGCCGTCAGTTATTAATTGATTCTGATGTTTCAATGAAATATCGGTTTGTTATTTTTTCCTGTTTATTCTTGAGTTTAATATTGAATAAAGTTTTTCAGGATATGTTTGAACTGATTTATGCTGAGATCCGTGAATCTCCTGCGAAGATTATAAGATGTTTTAAATTTCTGGATTCTGAAATCATCTGGCAGTTGGACAACTTGGGCATGATGGATCGAGTATTTCGAATGTGGTTGATTTTGACATATTAGTTATAATATAGTCTATTGCAGGAGGGCTTTTATTTTCCCCTTTAGTTGTTGCAACACATGCAGGTTGCATTATCAGTGATTCGAATTTATGACTTTCTAGTATGTCACATAGAATTTTTTTGATACACTGTTTTCCAGGAAGTTAAAATTTAAATCACCGCATATTAGGATATTTTTGAAATTGCTGTTGCAGAACTGTATGAAGAATAGATCTGCATTGCCATTGAGCGACCTATAAATGGCTACTATGCTTTATTTATTGATATTGCGGTTAATTCAATGTGCAATTTAATGAAGGCGTTTTTTATCTGAGATAACTCTTTACAAAAGTTGTGGTGCTCACTATGGAAAAATATAGCTACACCTCCGTGGCACTTTTTGCTCCGGCAAAAATTAGCGGCTATGATATAGTAGATATTTTTAATGTTCTCAAGAGGTTGCCAGTGTTCAGACAAGAGTACAAAATCGGGTTAATGTTCAGCCAGAAACGCATCAAGTACATTGAGTTTGTTGGTTATACTTTGAATATTCAAATGGATGATTTTTTTGAAGTTTTTGACAGTTGAACAAACCTGGTCAGACTCAGTAGTGATTAAACTTCTTCGTTCGTCTGTCTGGAGGCTTCCCGTAAGAAATTTGCATTTTTCGGAAATTGATACCTATTAACCATTGCTCCAGCAGGCCATATTTGAGGATTTTATACATCTTTGACGTGGCTGATAGGAAATTTCACTAACATGGAGCACGTCTTTTCATTGTTATGCAGGTGAAAGGAATGCCTGGTTCTGTTTCTGCCAGAACTTTGGTGAGATCCTCGGGTGTGGTGTCAGGTGACAATCGATAGACATGAAGATATCCTAACTCAACTATAGTCTTCACAGTTGATATAGTTTTGTTGACACCTACGATAGGCTTTCGGTGGTGCCGCCTTGTAGAATTGGTTTGTTGTTGTGGATTTCTCACTGCTTCCACCCCCTTTTTTATGGCCTGATTCACTTCACTCAATTCAAACAAATGACGAATATTTTTTGCATGATCGTCTGCTTTCCTCCTGGGACCGTTTTTATATGTGATTCATTTTCAGTCTAGGTTATTGCTGGTTTCATGGTTTTTATTTGCAGGTAGCATTTCGTGTTGGGCATATTTTGTGCTTATTGAGGAATCCTTGGTAGGTATTGATGGTGTGGATGTTTTTGATTGACTGGATATCAGGATTTCTTGTGGTTTTGATGCTACTATTGGTGTTTTCTGCACGTATCGTTTTAAGAGGCTCATTATGCATTCCAAGTCAGTTATTCAACTTTTCAAGAGTTCAATTTTTTTCTTGTAGATGAACTTTTTCCATCGTCATGTTATCTAATTGGAAATGCCTTCTGAGGCAGGTCTGTTTATCATATCCCAGGTCATATCAAAGATTGGATTGTTAATCGTGGTGGTATTTGAACGATTTTTGAAAAAGCTACACAAAACATCACTAGTAATACTTTCTGATGATTTGTTATTTACAATAATCTCAAATAATTCTGCGTTTTTCAATTTATCGAACTCTCGACTAACCGATACTTCTACTCCGGCCGTCATGCTGCGCCATGTTGTTGATGTGCAGTAAGAAAGGATTTTCAAATATTCCATCTGCGGGCCAGCCGCGAAGGAAAAAGGGGCGTAAATAAAATGAAAACTTATCTTTTCATCACTGTTTCTCCATACCGGTATATTTTCGAAGACTGAAATTTTGTATGTAGGTTCGCTTTATATCGTACATGTGCAATAAGAATTTTTTTCAAATATTCTAACTGGGGCTCCTGCCGCGGGTAAAAAGGGCGCGTCCGTATAACAAAATCATATTTTCATCACTGTTTCTCCATGCTCTTGAATTTCTGGTGGATGAATTTATATTCAGTATCAGCATCGCTCCCATGCGGAGCCTGGGCGGTTCTCTGGTGGAAAATATGATGTAGTGTGATGAAGGGCAAACTAAAAAGTTCGCTCCAAAAAGTTAATTCCTAATTGAAACCACTGAAGAGTCCGATGAGTTAGTGACTTGTCGCATTCTTAAATTTAGCAATTTGAAAAATTCATTAGTGAACAATTCAATACTTATACTTAAAACTTATTATTTCAGTTTTCATGTACGATCTTCACTATGAAGGATTTTACAAAAATCGCGACACGTATTTCGCTGTACAATAGCTTTATCAAGCGTGAAATATTATTATTTACGCTTGAAGAAGCTATTGTATAGCAAAACTCATGTCGCCCTTTATAGTGAGAATCATACAATCAACTGTATCAATGAGTTTCAATATACATTTTCATCAAATATCGGCCATTTCTATTCGAATATTCATACTTAGCTCTCTTTGATGGTCGACGTTTCAGAAAACATCCTTTTTCCGTTTTCGAAACCTGAAATCTGCTTCAAAACGTTCACCTCACATTATGGATAGCTCTCGAAGAATATATGCAATGTTCTATTTGAAATTATTGACTCGGGTCATTTCCTGTTGATGTCTGTTCGGCATCATCGGTATCGGGCAGGTGATCGTCGATTGAAGACGAAATGCGAAGAAACAAGAAGGGTACCTGATAAAAATAACTGCATAAACGCAAGCCACCTGTCGATGTAACACCCAAGTTAGCTTGCCATGTTTCTTATGTCGGCGTTGGTATTTTGATTAATCTTTAAAACAGCAGAAATTTGGAAGTCTCTCCTGAAATGCCATCGAAAAATTGATCCACATGTTTCTAGAAACTATATGAATTTAAAAATGGTTGACACAGCCAAGCTGCTGAAAAATAATTCCATGAATATTAAAAGATGAATAGATGACTACTATTTCAATCATTCCCAATTTGATTTCAATTTAAGAGACACCGGCAGACAGGTATTTCAGCCTGTTGGCTATTATCAGTATCAGGCGGTCCTCGATTAATATGTGTTAATATATTTGTATAAAAGTAACAATATGTATAAAACCAAGACAAGTACTCGATGAAAATTACTGTTCCAACGCAAGTGAGAAGAAATGGAACCACCTCCAGGTGTGACACTCAAGTTAGCTAGTCATATCGGCGTTGTTGGTTTCACCAATAACTGCTATTTAGTTTATCCAATAGACATTTTCAGTATACCTCCCGATAAATGCCGAAGTTTACTTCTGAATTTTCATCATTGACGTCTATTGGTTTTGCACTTTTTTCAATCTTTTTATAATAATGTATTATGATAATTGAATACTCGAAAAAAATTACAAAATTAATTCATGTATTTTTATTATTTGTTTCAGTTATGGACACCACTGAACATCATCTTGTTCAACTTGGTATGCAGCGATTTTTCGGTGTCAATTCTTGGAAATCCGTTGACTTTGGCTTCAGCTCTTTCGTATAGATGGATCTTTGGAAAAACTATGTGTAAAATGTATGGATTTTTCATGTCACTATTAGGTATGTTTCAACATCTGCAATCTGAATATCCTATTTGCGTAATTTAACGAAATGAGAGATCAAAAAAACACTAGAATTGTGATGTTCACCTACTCAGGTCATTGAATATTGAATAAAAGTCACTGTTGTGCAGAAAATTAGTTCTTCGATGATCTTCCTGGGGATTCTTACTTTCCATAATTGGAAAAAGTTGAAAATCGTGATGGAAAACTCAAAGGTGTAGGAAGGCGAACTTCCAGTTCAGCCTGGTAACTTCTCGCTCTAACTCCATCTTATTTACAGCAGAAACTACATTACTCACCAGTAACTTGGTTTATTTTATGATTTTGCCTATCGGAAGGAAAGCAAATAATTGAATTTTTCGAAACCACAACTTCCTTCGTCCTTGAGACTGAAAAAAAAATATTATAGCCAACTGAAGTTCTTCTTTTATTGGACTAATTCTTGGTCATCCTCATAAATTTGATATTTTGACATCTGAGATAAATTTTTGAAATGAATCAAATCGAAGAGGCTACTTATAAGTAGTATTTTCAGTGCTGCAGTTTGCTCAAATTTTGGACACCGAATCTTTCAGATGAGTATCTGTGCAATTCTCAGCTCATTTTTTGATAGGCAGAGTTATGAAATACGAAGTTCTTTTTTCAGAAATACATTAAATTCATGCAGGAACTAACATGTTGAACTCCTATTCATGTGTGAATTTCTACGAGTATATCACTTTTTTTCTTAGATTGTGAACGGAGAGAATTGAAAGAAATTCATTCAAAAATATTTTCTGTGTTTTCGTCACCTCCATCAGGACACCCAAAATACTTATGCTGTTTAAAAACCACAGATTGAAGCACATAATAACTGGGATTAGTTTGAAGAATGACTTGAGAAAGGAAAAAAAACAATACTTTTTTATTACTCAAGTCAGCGACAATTTGGAAAATTCTCAATGACAGGAGATTTCATGTTACCTTTTTTATATTTCAGTGGAAACATGTACATTTCACTGAAGTTACTCATTGATAATATTGAAACGCATTTCATGAAAAATATCTACCGGGTCTGCCTCCTAGGTCTTTCATGAATAAAACCAAGTGGGTGTTCTCTGGTCTGCAGTTGATTTGATTTTTTTCCAAAATAAGAGGGTCAAAGTATTCAGTCAGCTTCCTATAAAATTGTCAATAGTTTTTCTTTCATTGTTGAAATTTTTATTTTGCTGAATAGAAGATTCGTGTAGGTGCGATTGGTAGATTTGTATCCATAGGGTCTTGGGATAATACGAGTCCATTATTATATGCGCTTGCTTTTGTGCTTACAAAAAAAGTGTTCGCATAGTTTAGATATGAAAGAGTCGAAACAACGCTCATCCTTAATTGCTCGTAGAATATTATTCATCAATTTCAGAAACATTTATGAAGTGTTCTCGGTCAGAGCTCATCCTTCATAAAATTCGTTTTTTACCGTGAAAGCTATTTTGATGATATCTTCGTCATCGATTCCTATATATCGGGCGGAAATCAGGAACAAAGTCTGAGGACGTGAAGTATTGACATTTGCCAAATTAATGTTAGGTCTGATAGCATCTGTGTAGGGTATTTGTCATTTTCAGTAAGATAATTGAAGAGAACAAACATTGGAGTGATAGGACGTAGTTGGATATAATTTGTAACTATAAACTCGTCGGCGGTAGAGGCGGTACTGAGGCAGTAGACATCTTCAGTTATATATCCATCAACAGCGAGGACAACGGTAGTATCTCGAAGCTTTAGCACCGATTAACTGGGTAACTCCATTTTCACTAATATTCATAGCTGCAAGAGGTGGTGGTGGGGTGCCCAAGCGAATGCTCCGCAATCGTTCTAGGTTGTTTCTATTGATCCACGTCTTGACAGACATGCTGCTGTTGATCGAAGTTGTTTCCCGTCCATTTCTGACCCTTTCTAATACTGAGTGTCACAATCTGTTAGCCCGATTTTTTTTTAATATTCGAGGTGCTTCTAGATCTCAAAAGCCTCCTACAAAGTCTTGCGAGCTAATACCTTGTATCAGACAAGATACACTATTACGTGGTTCATTTCTGTTAGGATATACTCTGCAATTGTGGATTTCGAAGTTGCAGCTATGATTGTGTTATTGAATCCTGTTGTTGATACTGCGTTTGGTAATTCCAATGCAAACCGAACCACAGCAACAGAAAATCATGGAAACAGCAGGGAATGATAGAATTTTTGTTTCGCCCCAGCCAATGTGATAATTCATCAGTTAGCTTTGACGTCTCAGTAATCTTCGAGTTTGGTCTCATTCAATATATCTGACTCACTAATTCTTTTGACACGGTCTACAAGGGTTTCCATCATCGCATAATTTTGCTCTGATTGGTGATTGTACTTGTTGAGATTCCGATCAATCTGACATCTAAATGACCTACTTTTCTGGCAATTTTTCTTTCAACCGATATATCTGCGTGAACATTCAATATTAAACCTCTAAGGGTACACGAACTAAGTCGAAAAAACCAAGTAATAATACTTGCACTGGTGATTTTTTTGAAAATTTTCCCATATCGGAAAAATAAGATGTAGACGGAAGGGACGATATTTTCTAAGAATGTAAAAAAGTGTTACAATTATATCCATCGATGAAAGATGTAACTTGGATAATTAAGGAGAGAGCTGACTACATTTGGAAGTCAGACACTTACAAACTTCGAACGAATGAATCAGTGAATATTCGAATCCATTCTATGAATTATATTCAACGGAAATCATCAGGAAAAAACTTTCAGTGATCTTCATGTGACATTCTATAAACTTGGTTATGAGAAGAATTCATAGTATTGAAGTCACGTACTTCAAAACTACCCGGTTATGTCATTATGTGATTTTGTCAGTCTAGACTCCTGATATATTTGATGTATTTCAAGGTGTTCTCTGATATTATTCTGTTGCAAATTTGACATATTTCATATCTTTCTCTAATATGGGTAGCTAAGGAACTTCTTCGGAGCTGTTCAAAATACAATTCTCTCCAGATATGAGAATTCACACTGACTCTATGAACTCACATCCCTCAGAGTAGAATCGATTGGTAACCATTGTTCAACCATAATTAGGCAAATACTGTTGTTAACAGTTTTGCCACCATTTTTGGCAAAATATGGAACTCTTCAGTTCTTGTCCTCAATTTCTATTCCATTTTCGTGACTCATGAAAAATGTCTTTGTTGGACTTCACATTTACAGGAACATTATCAGCAAGATGAATCTAATATTTTTCTGAATCTCAATATTTTGGCCTGTTCTTCAACGAATTCTATTAGTATTCCGTAAGTATAAATACCCGAACCCCAAAGAGACTTTCCGAATAATAGTGATATTTGTTAATCAAGTATCAAAAGTTCCTGATGCATATCCATGGAAATTTCATCAGTTCCTCATTTTCAGTTTTTCCAGAGCTTGTACGTGTCAATCATGATGTTCACTGAACAAAGTGAGGCTGGAAGCAGATTCAACTTGTGACGATTTGAATTCTGGAATTTGATTCAAGTAACTGCTCGATAAAAAACGAAAGTTTTAATGGGCGTTCGCTGAATCATTTCACAATATTCCCCGTAGGAACTTCTCCCCTATAAATACTCAAGGCAAAGCCTTCACAACGCCTTTCCAAATGCTAATTCTATCAGCCGTAGCCAATGAATTGTTCCCGTGAAAATTGGGAATCTGTACTTTTCTATTTCAAAAATTAAGTCGCGTTTTGAATATAATAACATATTCCAATAGAAAGGGGTATATTTTCAATACAGATTATTTCCTGGAAGAGAAGGGTGGAAATTTTCCAGAGGTAGGATGAAAAGCAATAAATTTTGAAATGAACTCCTTACAAAGATATGTAGATCGTGCCAAGAAATAACTTGCAGACATAAACTGTAAGACAAAGCTCTCTCTTTCATATAAACATTGAATTACTCGAAAGAACAAATACTTTTGAAACAACTACTTCCGAATATTACTGGAGTTTTTTCCCAACACCAAATCGTTATTTTCAACACTTTGACACGTGTTTCAATCACCACGTGATCATCTTCAAAGAGGAAGATTAAACAGTTTAAACTTCAAAGAGGAAGATTAAACAGTTCAATCTTCCTCTTTGAAGATGATTCTATGGTCATTGAAACATGTGTCGAGGTGTTAAAAATAAAGATTTGGTGTTGAGAAAAAACTCCATTAATATTCATTACTACACCAAAGGTTCCAAACAGTAAGTACAACTACTTCCATTTGAATATTGAAATATACTAAAAACACTTTTTTCTATTCAGTATGTACTCCAAATTTTTGTTATGATTTCGAATCAGATTTGATTCATGTGATTGTTTTATTTATTTACAGCTTTGGCAACTCAACAGAACAAAAGTTACAATTATAGAGTCGCACAGAAATTACAAGATTCATCATTACATTCAAAGAGTTGAGCTAGATTGAACTAAAGATAATTATTTACAGATAGAAACAAAAATACAGTTACCCTACCTAGTGCATAATATGTTTCTACAAGAAAATCTTACTTTTGAAAGGGGTAAGTGAAATAGGTCAACAGAGGAAAAAGTTTAATTGTATGTTTGTTGCATACGTGATATTGGAGCGTTTAAGAAATATAATTACTACTTGCTGGAGACAACATGAATAAATCACCATTGCGCATGGAATAAACCTTTGCCATGAACGATATCTTTAAAAAAATCTGTTTCAAAATCTGTTTTTTCATTAATCAGCTGTCGCCCCCATACAAACGACAACTTTCTGAAGTTGAGAAACTTGTTCGAGCTGAAGACTAACGAGGTCTTACCTTTCAACGTGTCATTCCTAACACGGTTGCAGAATCATCTCAGCTTCAACCAGATGAATTCTCTCGAGAAAAATATCTGGTCGAGGCGGAAATCGAACCCACGACCTTCCGATGGTCAGTCGGGCGCACTACCACCTCAGCAGACTGCCATGCACACCGAAATTCTCCAACTTGATGGGCAAGGTACTGTGATGGACCTTGTCAAAAGCCTTAGAAAAATCTGTGTACACGGCATCCACCTGAACGTTGTCCTCCATATATTCCAACGTTCCTTGTACTAACAGCAGGAGCCCAGTCACACAGGAGCGCTGACAATAAAACCCGTGTTGAAAGTTTGTTAGGGGTTTTTTGCCATAAAATAAAGTTTGTTATTATTCCTTCGAATAGTTTTCCAAATATACGTAGAAGCGATATCCCTCTATAATTTTCAATCACACTCTGGTTTCCACTTTCATATACTGGAACCATATTGGCTGATTTCCAATTTTTAGGAAATATTCCCGTTTTCAGTAAGTGATTGTAAATCATGTACAATGGCTCAATTAGTGACTCAACACAAGACTTTATGAAAATAGAAGGGATATTGACGGGGCCACAGCTTTTTGATGTGTCAAGTTTTTAAATTTGTTGCCGTATTTTCTCTTTACTTATTGAGTCAATGCAGATTGTACTATATGCCGAATTCAAATCTAGAATGATATTTGATGGAGTATTATCACTTTCGTAAACTGAGGAGAAAAATTCAGAGAAGCCGTTGCAGACATCCTGAGAATTTGCGAGTTTTTGTCCATTCAGTGACATACATACTCAATGGTATTCTTTATTTTTTTGTTGGAAATATATGACCAGAATTTTTTCACATTCTTGCCCATATCATTTTCTAGATTGTTGATGTTTTTGGAGTAATCTGAATTGATTTGGTTTTTAATTTCTTTACGCAATATTGGGAAGTTCAAGTAATCTTCTTCGTTTTTGTATGTTTTTCATTTTTTGTACAGTTCAGATTTATTTTTTATCGGTTTCTTTGTATTATACGAAAACCAGATTGGATATTTTTTGTTTATCATTTCAGATTGTACGTGTCTCGTAATAATTTCATTAATTTCTTCATAAAGAAGGCCAACCATGACATCAACATTAGCGTTATTCAAGAGAGGATACCAGTCTATATTTCCAATTTTCTCGTTTATGATATTATAGTTAGCCTTTCGAAAGAGCTTACTTTAATGAGATATTTTTCCTGCGAGAACAATATCAGAGTCATTACTCGAACGTAACTCACCCTGTATATTAGATTATTATTTTAAAATACGGTAAATTAACATCAAAAATCGACATGTTTCAGGATTATTTCTTAAAATGACCTGTTTAGCTTAAAATGAATTTGTTCCATACTTTACGGACACAGTGTATATCGTGACACTATTGAAAATAAAAGGCTATCTTCAGAACAGTTGAGAAGATTGAATATCTGATAGGCGAAACTTTTTGAAAGTAGTGATGAAGTGTGATAAAGTGTACCAATTCTTCAAGAATTCCGAGGAGTAATAATATGTTACGCTTGAATCTTTTGTCGTAGGTATAACTTCCATAACAACTTTAACAGTATTAGCATTCGAGAGGTATATGATTGTATCCCGGCCTTTTCGAAGTCGGGGTCTCAGCAGAAAAAATGCCGTCTACTTGGTAGTGGGAATATGGATCTATTCCCTGGCTCTTACAGTTCCCCCACTTCTTGGATGGGGAAAATATGTGAATGAGGCGGCGAATATAAGGTAAGAATGTATTTTTTGTTGTGAACAAAATCAAACTCTTTCGAATCTATCAGACTGAAATAGACATTAACGAATCCTGCACAGTTTTTCTTATTAACTCCCCGTGACATTAATCCAAAGTTTATTTTTCCACAGAAATTTCGAAATGAATCGAGTTACTACATTTTATATTGATATTTCAGATTTGATCATGAATTTCAGAAATATGTGGTATATTGTTTCATTGAGTGTAGCTAAAAGGACTGTTATATTAGTTGAAACCGAAACATTCGGGGGAAGCAATTTATTTGAGAAATCCGGTCGGTATAGTTCGAAGTTGGGACATGTGAATAAGATGTGATTTATATCCGCTAAATGAAAATTGTCACATGAGCATAATGGATTCACATCAGGGCCTATTTTTGCCAGTCTATCCGAGGGATACCTTTAGGAATAGTGAAGTGGAATAATGAATAATAATTATTTGACTAAGATGAAAATTCTTACAAAAGTCTCCCCCTATTCAATAATAATAATAATAAACGTCTTTATTAATACAATCACACACAAAAATAACAATATTAAGTACTAACTACATAAATATATAAAGTTATAGTAGAAGGCGAGGTTCAATTTTCACAGCTATGCAAATAACTGCTAAATCGTTCTTCCAATTTAGAAGTATTTCATGTCTAACGTCTGAGATCAGATCTTGCAGGAAGCTAATATCAGTTTATCAATTCTAGAGAGGTGGCTTCTTTCGCTGCCACATAAATTTTTTCATTTCCGGCAATATCCAGCACATCTCATTCTCATTTCAACAGTTCATAGAAATTTCATTCAATTTTGCAAGAAAATTCAAAATGATCATAGAAAATAATTTTAATATTCCGGTATGTATGGATGGCTGATCTTCAGTTCCCAGCATACCTCTATTACTGAGAGGAATGTAACTTGAACCCATTGAACAAAGAGCAAGTGTTTCTTCATATCATAAATGAAGTGATACTTCAGTTCATTAAGATGACTGAAATGAATTGAGTGGATTGAGTTCATTTTTCTTGAAATTTTATTAATAATCTGGTTTGAGACTCTTCGAATTGAAAAAACTAACTCTAAAGCTCTCATTATGTTGAATAGTTTGTTGTTTGCCTCAATGATCAGTTGAGTAATTTTATGCTTCAAGTTTTCTTACCGAATAATTTACCTATAATTTGATTGTGTTTTATTCACTTTTTCAGAAGTTCATACCTTCATTCCCTGAGAACGGTTAATAATTTCGAAATCAAATATGACATTACGTCACTATTTCCTCACCTTCATCCTAAAAAAATATTATTTTCACCAGTTAGAAATGACTAGCTCATAATTTGCGGAGGCAATGTCGCAGATCGATGTTCATAGAAATTCAACCCGGAGTATTGGAACAGGTCACTGAGGTGTTCATTATAAATGACTGATTGAATTTTCTGGATATATGTTTCTCTAAACTATCATCGTTATCCTTGAACGAGAAACCACCACCGTTATCCTTGAACAGTCATTCAAAATGAAGACTTCACTGTCATCAAGAAAGATTAAAAGAAAACTAGTCAAAATGAACTAAAAAAAATTCTATCAGATACTACAATCATAAGCATAAGAGATGCGGAGAATCACCAACATGGACCCCTTCTGCCCTTAACTATTTGGCCTAATGAAAACACATAAAGAAGATAACTCCATAAGACCGATAGTATCGTATATGAATAGTCCATTAAGAGAACTAGAAATACGTCTCAACAAGTTGTTCAAAAATATTACCATCTTCGTCCAACCTCAGTATTTAAAATTCACTGACTTTAGTGGAAAACATAAGGAACCATAAGGATGTAGAGAGTATGTTTTCCAAAATACCTTACAACGAATGTAAGCCCCTGATTTCAGATATATTAGATCAAGCCAAAGTAGACCAGCATATCACTTCCTTTGAAGTTTCAACAGCTTTCTACAGTTACTACAGTTCAACAACAAATTTTATAAATAGGATACAGGTTTACCAATGGGTTCACTCCTTAGTCCACTTTTAGAAGACATATTTATGAATAACTTGGAGACCACTACAATGAATCAGAAATCAAGAGGTGGATACTCTAACATATTTTGGTGAAAGAATAGAGATAATTGCGGGTTTCTTCAGAAAAAACAATGTGGAAGTGGCATTCAGACCACATGCCAGGTTATCTGATTTCCTTTTAAATGCCAAAGATAAAGTGGACAAGTTGGAGAAATCTGGAGTTTATAAGCTTAAGTGTCATGCGTACTAGGCGACATTTTTGAGGTTAAGTGGAAGAGCAATTGAATGATGACTTGTCGTCATGTAAATTGAACTTCGCCTTTTGTCTTCTTATAATAAATGAACTGTACATGATTAATTTGATTTGAATGTATTAGAAGATAATAAAGACGGTATTATTATTATTATTAAAAATAATTCGGCGTTGTCAAACCATTCCTTGGCATGCAACCACAAGCTCCCGAATCTAAACGATACGGAAATTTTGCACCATGCAAATAAGGGCTGCAAACTCAATTATTTGGAATCCTTGTAAATTCACAAGCATAAACATTGCGGGTGCAACCTGTTAAATGATCAAATCGAATTCGTTCACTCACCAGTTTTCAAATTAACTTATCCACATTGTCCATTTAAACAAAATTCAGATACTCAATCAAGCTAAGTACCTGTATTATCACCTACAGTGGTGTTATATTGGGGCTAATGTAATCAATCTTCGTTAGTTTAATGTTTGAAAATATCCTTATAGGACGAGACTGCAGTAACAAGTTCAAAAGCATGAAAAATAGAGATAGAGGTCCTTAAAATATAAGCGATAGCACATTCGATTCGGAATGATCTCTAAAAATATGTTTCCGAAGAATTTTGGTGCAGGTGAAAAATTGCATTTGTTGTTCTTTCGTGTAATTGAATATTTTTATGGAAGTAGCTGTTTCAGGAGGATTTTCTTTCAGTTTGTGTCTGAAAGTTACTTCTTTGCATGACCTGCACATCCATGTAAAGATGTACTTATTATCAAATTGATTACTTCCTTCCTTCCTTTGGAAGATTCCCTAATCCTTTTTTTGTATCAAGATGGAGTAGTAGAAAGCCAAAAACTTTCTCTCCCACTATTAGTTACAAATGAAAGTGGTTTTCTCAGAATTTTCAATGGAAGATGTGTAAAGTAATTAAATGAATATAAAAATTCGAAGGCGAAAGGTTTTCGGTAGGCCTTCGCCGTTTGCAAATGATCTTTTATAAATGGTGCAATCTTCAGTAGCTTCCTCAATAGGGAAGTTGAAAAATTAACTGTTCTGGAGTGACAATCAAATTAGGGTTCAATGCATTGCATCATCACTGAAGAAAACAAGGATTTTCTCATCTACACTCCTCACAGACTGCACTAATGTGATCCGCTACTCCATACTTTACGTTCAAAAAGTTTGACCAGATTCACAATCAGATATCAGCAGTGGAGCTGCATTTCAGTCTAGGGTTTATCGATCCCTTGAAATGGGTTTATTCACAGATGGCGCTCATCTATTCTGAGTTAATATAACTCAAAATCCATCTCTGTTTTTACATCATTTTTATAGAATATTCATTATTGTTTGAATTGGAGGGGTTATATTTTTTTCATTGTATAGTTGATACTATGAAACAAGAAGTTTCTGAATGTAAACAAAGGGAATACACTCCACCCTGAAATTGATGTGAGTGGAAAATAGATATTGAATTCAATTCGATGTCGTCAAATTTTGACCCTTCAAAGAAACTACATGATGTATTCCAATGATGGAGTACTGCTACAGACTATTCAGAGGAATTTTAGATTTGTAGAAATAGATATCTGAATAATTAATGTGACATAAAATCAATAGGAGAAGCGTCTTTAGATTGTTACCAGTGTTATCAGTGCTAAATTGAGAGTGGTATTTCACCAAGAAGAGACGAATGCATTTCTTAAAAATACCAAAACCGAAATATCTGATTTTGTTGGTTGAGTAATGGAAATAGTATAAAAAATGAGAAGGAATTATCGAACGGAACAATTTTCACGAAAGCGGAATGGAAAGGTTCTCCTCTGATGAGCTGAAGATTTGTATCAGCACTGTGGCTGAAACAGCAATTGGTGTAAGCAAAACTTTCCTTGACTTATAATAATGATCTACTGAAATTTCTGAAAGAGAAATTTGATGAATCACAAAACTACGCTAGCCTAGATCATATTTGAATTTCTAGGAGTCACTGATGAAATATCTCTTTCTTGAGAAGACAATATCAAATTTAAAAAGTCGAACAGTTGCAGGACCGCATCCTTCGGCGTCGTTATCTTTTGGATATTGATATAGAAAAAGGTGCCAATCGTGAATACCTTTCTGTTTTTAGCCATCTTCTTGGAGTACGTATAGAATCAGCTGATGTTATCTATCTATATTCCTTCGAAAATAAGAACAAAAAGCGTTTTCTCGGAATTGAACTGATCTCTAATCTGGAAAATTGTGGATTATAAAAAATTTGCATGAGCTAAAAAATGAGAACATCTTTGTGGTCAATGATTCATGCCCTTTTAAGAAATGTTGCCCTATAATTGTTGAACGTAACGGGATCGAAGTAACTATCAAAAATATTCATCCAATCATCACCACAGTAACCAGTGAGAAGGACGGAGTACCCTATAACGCATCAATAGAAATGTTTTGGATTCGAATGGGATATCCCCCAAAATGATTTCATTGATTATTTTTTGATTTATCACCTCACTTTTTTCTTGAACTCTATCACTACTAGTTAACAATTTCCAAACTTTTGGAAGAATGGATTGGTTACAAACCTAGAGTAATTTCTGGCTGGGGCCTATCACAATTGTGTCTTTGAAACGGTGGAAATGATACTGAACTATCAGATCAATAATTATGTTGATGAAAATCATATCATATCAGTACAATCAGTACTCAGATCTCAGCATAATACCACCACGGCTCTTCTGTCAAATACCGAACATCTTTTTGAAGCTGTTGATGAGATTTTGACATGTTTATCACTTCTGAATTATAAAGCCTTCGACACTCTCGATCACGAGATATTTTGTGATGAACTTGTCTCTTCTGTTTTTCTCGATAAGCAGTGTCACTCTTAGGAAGCTATGCGAAGGGTCGTACTCAAAGACTTGTCGTGGATGCTATCGGTTGCTATACCGATCCTATAAGGAGTGCCACGGTCCCTGCTCTTCAACTTGTATATACGTTTGTGTGAAATGCACTATAAATCACTATGCAAGCGACACGAAGTTATATTTGTCTTTTTCATCTTGCGACTCTGCATCTGCTCAGTCGCATAATAATGTCGATCTCCAAACCTCCTTTGACATTTCTATAGTCAAGCTGAATTCTGAGAAATCTGAAATGATGATATTTTAACATGAAAAGAATAGAGAGCTCATCAACTTCAATTTTCAAGTCAGCATCGGAAATGAAATACTTCCGTCCATGACCGAGATGAAAACTTTAGGTTTATGGTTTGATCCTGAATATCTTGAAGATGATCACTTGGTGATCGAAACACGTGTCGAGGTGTTAAAAATAACGATTTTTTGTTGGGAAAGAACTTCGGTAATATTCCTGCATATCGCTTCACCATATATTCACTATCTGACGACAGCCCATTTTATCATTTGGATTCCAGGACATCGGCTGCGGATGCACATCTTCACCGGCAGCAGGAGGTTGCGTATATAAATGAGGATCTGGAAGTAATTTCAAATTGTAATGAAAGTAACTAAGTTCAATTCAATACCACTAAAACCCAGGCAGATGTTTTCTCCAAAAAGATAAATGTTTCTGAACCGGATATAATGATGACAGGACAGACAATTCCACTTTCTGCTTCGATTAATTTGTTGGGGGTTGAAGTGAACAACAATATGACTTGGCACAATAATGTCGCTGGAATTGCGAAGGCTGCTTCGCAAAAAGTTGAAACAATGTTTCGAACCAGAAAACTGTACACACCTCAGCAAGTTTTGATGCTTCATGAAGATCATATTAGATCTTCTTTGGAGTATTGTTCTTATGTATGGAGTTTCGCCCCTCCTACCCTGAAGCTATTGGATGCCAAAAAAGAGTCATTAGGGGCGCGGCGAACATTACTTGCAACCTTGACGGTCTGGAACATCAAAAAAGGTTGGAGATTTCCTTTTTTCCTAGAGATACCTTCATGGCAAGTGTTCAAGTCACTTAGCACATTTCATTTCGCCAAGAGCAGAACATATAAAAAATTCGTGACTGACTGTAGCTGCTCATCGTTTTGAGGTCCACCTCAGAACACCTCAAACTTCCATTGTTTGGAAACTTCTTCATTTGGAGAACTGCCTTTATGTAGAATTAACTTCTTGAGAACGTTTTTTCAAATGGATATAATCTCCAGCGACTCACATCCAATACAATATGAATCGCTTCCTCTCCACAGACACTGCTTTCTTGCCTTTGGTCCTTATCTTGTCTTTTGTCGTTGAAAAAAACTATTTCCAAATCTTGATTTGCTCAACAGTGTCTTGAAACTTAGACTATGCGAGTTACAAAAAGGAATTTTCTACAGCGTTTCCATCAACTGATTTTTTGAGCTCGTGATCCTGTTATTGTTTTTTAATTGGTTTATCCTGGTTGAGTTGAAAAACAACCTTGACTAATACTCCGCATATTACCTTTTATACTGAAAATAATATTTTTTCTTCCTTTTTAATTGTACTTGTATGGTAGATAAAGATGTTTCATTGTTAGTATTATTATTTCTTACTTCGAACATCAATTTCAGAATTTGATTTGAAAAAGTACATAACATTCCGCCTTGAAGTTGAAAATTTAATCTTTCACAATTTATAACTTTCGACAATTTGTTTACTCATAGCTTGAAATTATTTTTTGTGGAATCATTCTTTGAAATTTTCAAGCGAGAAATATATACTCGTATTGATAACAAAACATTTTGTTCATATTTTGCTTCACAATATATACTTTCTTTAGTATCAAGAAATAAATATACTTCGATCATTTTATATTTCCTATACATAGAGCAAAAGCGAGTTGAAATAAACTCTATAGTGTTCTAAAGGAAGTTGAAGAAGTATTTGAATATATTCAAACTAGAACAGAAAATATAGTTTTCATCGTAACACATGTTTGATCTAAATGTTGTCAGGAAACAATTATACTGAATTCATTAGTTTTGCATCAGATTTTTGATATTTTCACTGCAGAATCCATATGAAACTATAATTTTATTATTGTGTTCTATGGAAGTTGACATTTCCGTTGAACTCATATTTAAAAACAGGAAAAATAAATGAATAATATAACTCATATTTCTGTTTGTAAATAATTGTAATTGGTGACCCATAGGTTCGTAGGACATGTACCTTCTGTCTCGATGTATGTTACTGAATAATATTTCCTTTGATGACAAAACACTTGGGTGGAATAAACTCTGTAAAACAATCACTTAATTGTTTCAGTTGCTCGGTTAATTGGGAAGAACAATCAGCAAATGCAATGAGTTACATCTTGTTCCTGTTCGCCTTCGGTCTCGTTCTACCTCTGATTGTTATACTGTTCAGCTACGTTCACATAATCATCACTATGAGACAGGTAAAAAAATAGTTAATTGGATCCAAATAATCACAATTGATCTTTCTGCTCCGTGACAATAAATTATTATTTGTTGAGATTTTCAATGACGAATCTTTCATTTCATGAGAATTCAATGTTTTACCAATGCTGTATAATGTGAATATTGTCATCATTTTCATGTTTACGTTGATATCATCTCATATGAATACACCTGGTTTCATCATCTATGTAGAACATGATGTGAGAATTGCAAACTGTTTTTAATATATTTGCTTTGTTAGTCAGGAGCGGTTATAAATATTACTTTTTGAAACTGATACTTTTTCAACTTCGTGGAGAATCAAGGGTCCTTCAAAGTGAATCATAAAAATTTCAACTATTTGGTTATTAGTTTTACAGAAAGCAATATCGGATCGATCATGTTAACTTCTCAGAACGATTATTGATATGACTTTTTGAAACTAATACTTTTTCATCTTCGTGGGGAATCAAACAATATCGGCTTCAATTCGTTTACTTGAAGTACACCAATAGAAACTCTCCCTATTCATATATTTTCTGCAGTACAAAACTTTTGAAAGCACTAATATTCTCAATGGAGTTCCGAGTTACTTTCAATATTTTAATCTAGTTTGAACATGATATAGGTGAGAATACTATCTACTACAATGCATGGAAATCGTGAAGTACATTCTGGTCATAATGTTAATCAACAAGACTTCGAACATTATGAAAACGTTATGTTATATTATAGATTCATCCTAATCATATTACATACCTTTCCTGGAAATTGTATCACCTACTGTACCCATTTATATGTGTTTTTTACAACTGTCATTGATAGTGACATTTTTAATGGTTGTCAAGAGTATTAAAAGATGATTTTTAAAAATATTTCAACACTAGTGTTGAGAAGTACAATTAGAACAACTGCTGATATTGATACTTCGCGATGTTGAAGACCTTCGTAATAGATTCAAACTAGCTGAGTTGACACTTCCATGGGCATTAACATTTGATGAATCGAAGAGGTTTTTGTAAGAAAGTGTATAATTATAAAGTTATCGCAAAGCGCTTTCGACGTTAGTCATCATCAGTGCTCACCTGAAAGTAAGTGATCTAATTGAAAAGAAAGTTTTGTGAAAATTGAAGTTTGCAAAAAATATTTTTTTAAGTTATGAAATTTGGAAAATAGTTTATGATTACTTACCTGTCAGGCAACAGGAAGTATCAAAATGAGTAAATGGCAAATTAATTAATTTGTGAATAATAGATGGTTGATAATAATTGTTGACAGCAATTTTATGTTGCATAGGATGAAATGAATTGAAGGGGATGACATGATAAGTCTGGGTTGGTTTTCTGTAAATGACAAAATCTAATTTGTTGTTAATTTTTGTTATAGTAAGATCTGGAAAGTTTAATTTATTATCTTTTTCTATTTCAAGGGTGAATTTAAATTTTGGATGTAAGTTATTCAAGGAATCAAGGATGTTATGTGCCAAATTAGATTTGCTTTCTATGAAATAATTTATGGCAACTCTAATTTCGCACATAACATCCTTGATTCCTTGAATAACTTACATCCAAAATTTAAATTCACCCTTGAAATAGAAAAAGATAATAAATTAAACTTTTTAGATCTCACTATAACAGAAATTAACAACAAACTAGATTTTTCCATTTACAGAAAACCAACCCAGACTGATTATGTCATCCCCTCCAATTCATTTCATCCTATGCAAAATAAAATGACTTTCTTCAACTGTTATGTCAACAGATTGTTGAACATTTCTTTATCACCCTCCAATTTTAATTTACAATTGAATACATTAAAACAGATTGCTGTCAACAATGGTTATCGACCATATATTATTCACAAATCAATTAGTAAATTTAAACACAAATCTGATAGAAGATTGGCCTTCAACTCTACCACCTCGGTTAGTTCACCTTCTGTGAAATATTTTTCTTTACCTCACTTTGATCAGAATATGTGTACTGTTATTTCCAAATTATAGAAAATACCATATCTGGCACTAAAATTTCTTTAAAATCTCAAAATAACTTAGGTAACTCTTCAGTAAATTCCAAAGACAAAATTAATTATGGCATTGATGACATAAGTAGATCAAACTCATTCCGTGACATTAAAAATCGTAATTCATGAATGAATTGTGTGTATTGTCTATAATGTTATACCATTTGGTACTCACGAACCTGTGATCGGCCTTCTATGGTTTGATGTTTTGGACACTTACCATAGGTAGGGAATGAGCCACCTCGCCAACCTGATTTAATACAATGGCCCAAACCAGCCGAACTTCATATTCTGGGAACGCTCGAATTTACCCTCTCTACGGCAAGGGAGCGGTATGCCAGAGAAAGATGTTTGGGAAAAAACCGAAACTCCTCGAGTATGCCACAATAATAAACTTCCTGGCACAAAAATTTCTTTTAAATCTCAAAGTAACTTATAGGTAACTTTTTAGTAAATTCCAAAGACAAAATTAACAAATTACACAGAAGTGGAGTCTATAAGCTTGACTGCTCTGATTGTTCTGCATCTTACATTGGTAGAACCTGTAGACTTCTTTTTACTCGTATTAATGAACATTAAAAAAAACCTGAACAATCTGCTTTTGGCTATCACATTAAATTTCACAATCATAACTTCAGTCCTAACAGAAATTCCAAAATATTACCTGAAATAGATAATAAAAATTCCTTAAACATAGATTTCCTTTCCCTTTATAAAAGGATCATGAATTGTTGATGAATAAAATTTATTACTAATATACTTTATTCTATATTGGCTTCTCCACAACATTATTATTTTGAATCATAATGGATCACTCCTCAAGTTGGTACCATTATTTTAACATCACCCTTGACACATCCTCTCACAAGTTGCCCTTTTTTCATATAATACTTTGACTGAACCACATGGCCTCAATCCAAAAATGTAATTTCTTGGCTATCAGCTTATTTTGTTTTATATAAGTCAAATATTACAAACATAACCTTAGAAAAATTTTGCAAACTTCAATTTTCAAAAAACTTTCTTTTCAATTAAATCACTTATTTTCAGGTGAGCACTGATGACGAAAATCGAGAGCGCTTTGCAATAACTTTATAAACTTCAATTTTCAAAAAACTTTCTTTTCAATTAAATCACTTATTTTTAGGTGAGCACTGATGACGAAAATCGAGAGCGCTTTGCAATAACTTTATAATTAATTATACACTTTCATACAAAAACCTCTTCGATTCATTTATTCAATAAGTGTATTCAGCTTCCCAAAATCTATTTTTTATCAACATTTAATTCTTGAAGTGAAGAGGACGATGCTATAACGCTGGAGCTAGCTGTTGGGATTATTCTTTCAGCAATGGCCTTCCTATAAGAAATAGATTGATCGATGTAACCCTCAGCTACTGTTGTAGACTTCCATTCTCTGTGCTTCTTGATTTACATTATATATGCTCCTGATTCTGCTAGCGAAGAAGCAGAAGACCTTTTGAAATAGTGACCTGTATAATCCTTTGGTTCCGGGTGATTCAGAAACTCAGCAATGGTGGGTGGCATTTCCCCAAACGACTTTATGCCAACTAGGTTGGCACTGTATTAATGGGTATTTCAGAAAAAAATGATAACAGAAGGGCATAATGCAACGGATTCATCAAAATTGTCGTCGTTTCTTCCAAAAAGGCAAAAAGAACGCCCGTTTTTGTATGTGGAATTGAAACAATCAATAATTCATCCATCAATTCAATGTCTTCTATTAATAAATTGCACAGATCTTCATGCCAGCAGGCATCATATATTCCGAAAATAGTAGCTGCTTTTATCATCAAATATATTTCATCTGGCGCCTCATTTATAAACCTCTGAACTTGTTCAAACGTAAGGGTTTTTGATTTTTTGAAGCTATAACTTTCCTTTTTCCTCTATTACCCTGAATGCTATTACCTTGAAATATTTGATTGTAAAAACACCATTTTTGACGAGCGCACTCGACTTTATCATTGAAAACTTGCTCCACAAAATTGACGAGTTTCATATTTTTGATTTCTATTCTAGATAGGCTAAGAAGACAGTTTCCCTGAAATTTTCTTCGACGTTTCTAAGTCTACACCAGCTAAAAAAATTAGAATATGTGATGTCGTACTGCTGAGGAACAATTCAATTGAAGCTTCTTTGTAGCCTCTTCGATATCGTCAGGAACACACAATTCCTCACTATTGTTCCCCATTACGCAAGACATTGAACACCAGCAAGAACTTTAAAATGTGACTTTGAATAACGCGTGAGCTGTAAACAATACTGTTTTTTTTTGGATTATAATCTATATGCAATTTCGAATCACAGTGGATCTACCTACAGCGGACATTATACAGCAGACATCCTTATACTGGCACGTGGCACGAATACAATGATTCACACGTGTCACCAATTTCACCAAAATCGCTTGTCTCCATCCTCTTTTATGAAAAGGAGGAAATAAGTTCGCACCTTTGAGCGTTTTGAAATGTTATTTTTATACTGTTGTTTTCAATGTTATAATGAATTAGTTATGTAAGATTTATGTTATATTATATGTATGAAAATTTAGAAAACATTGATTATTGATTGGGAAATTCACAATTTCGTTCCGTTGATGACTTCAAATGTCAAAAGTCCATTTCGAAGCACTACATGATCTTCAACTTTGACGTTTGGTTTGGTCTTGAATTGAGTTTGCCCTCGATAAAACAGTGATTTCATGATTCATTATTAGTAGGAGATTACAGCCGGTTCTCAGTTTTCCCCAACTACTTTGACGTAATTGATAGAACCAACGTATTTGAAAAAACACACTTGAGAGAGATTTCCACTTTACCGCAGTTTTGTGAACTATCAAGTGGAGATCGCCTTGTGTTAGCGCAACGAGTTGGGATTGGTGTTGAGTTTGCCTAGACGTCAGACGGCTCTTGACGACACGAGAGGTGGCAGCATCCTTTTATGCAATCTTCCGATGGATGAATCAAAAACTTTGGTATCGGTCCAATTTTTCAATCAACATCCCAATCATCTCATTTATGGATGAAATGTGAAAACTAACTCAATTGTGTTTTCATGCCGGCAAAACTTTGTGAACTATGACCTGAATACCGCTTATTTATCACTCAATGGATTGATACAAGTTGAATCATCACTAGTGAAATGCATTAAAATACGTTTGGGTTGCCATGTTTTGAATAATTTCTCATTTCTCACATCTTGTGAGGTGTGAGGCAGAAAAGCACATATCGCTAGTGAAGCTGTTACCCATTAGAGCCAGCTGACGTGACAGGCAACCCCACCACTCCCATTAAGATGCGCTTATAAAAGGCGATATGAGCTGGCAATGGTCGTCGAAATTTCACGTGTAGACGTGTGCACTATCTGCCCCAAAAGGTAGTCTTTCACTACAAACACCTCACGTTACAGGCACCACACCGCCAATCCCAACTCGATGTGCTAACGGAAGGCGCTACAAGTAGGTAGTGCTCGTCGGAGCTTCACAGAGTGTAGAAATGTGCACTTTCTGCTTCGAAAGGTAGCGTCCAACTTGAGATAATAGAAAGAACCACTCCATAGTTAGTGGATCTTGATTGAATGCAGATGTGTGTGTACTCTCTACAAACTTATACAAAATACAGATGAAGGACAATTTGTCTTTACCGTGTATGCAATCTACCCTTTCAATTTCGAGGTCAAATTACACGTTCTGATTTATATTGCATTCACATAGCTCTAAGACGCCTTTCAAGCTTGACCGTCAAGGTCACGTTCTTGATACAGTTTTGAAAATCAAGGTCGACTTTCATGTTCTAAATCATGTGATATTGCACAAAGTTAAATGCCGTGTGAAGTTAATCAAGGTCGAAAGTGGTGATGGATGAAAGTGACGTTATCCACACTTATGCACCATACACGTTTTCTATAGTGAAAACTCCAACTGGAAATAAGGGAAAATCAAATTATAGTTTACAAAATTCTTTACATATCGCTAGTGAAGCTGTTACCCATTAGAGCCAGCTGACGTGACAGGCAACCCCACCACTCCCATTAAGATGCGCTTATAAAAGGCGATATGAACTGGCAATGGTCGTCGAAATTTCACGTGTAGACGTGTGCACTATCTGCCCCAAAAGGTAGTCTTTCACTACAAACACCTGACGTTACAGGCACCACACCGCCAATCCCAACTCGATGTGCTAACGGAAGGCGATACAAGTAGGTAGTGCTCGTCGGAGCTTCACGGAGTGTAGAAATGTGCACTTTCTGCTTCGAAAGGTACCGTCCAACTTGAGGTAATAGAAAGAACCACTCAGTAGTTGTGGATTGAATGCAGATGTGTGTGTACTCTCTACAAACTTGTACAAAATACAGATGAAGGACAATTTGTCTTGACCGTGTATGCAATCTACCCTTTCAATTTCGAGGTCAAATTACACGTTCTGATTAATATTGCATTCACATAGCTCTAAGACGCCCTTCAAGGTTGAACGTCAAGGTCACATTCTTGATACAGTTTTGAAAATCAAGATCGACTTTCATGTTCTAAATCATGTGATATTGCACAAACTTAAATGCCGTGTGAAGTTAATCAAGGTCGAAAGTGGTGATGATGAAAGTGACGTTATCCACACTTATGCACCATACACGTTTTCTATAGTGAAAACTCCAACTGGAAATGAGGGAAAATCAAATATAGTTTACAAAATTCTTTGCATGTAGTATAACAAATTACTTATTGGACGAACATTAAGAAAAGTCGTTCCGTTTCAATAGATATGCATTATCAGAACATGTAAATGATAATGACCATGAAATATATTATAACAATTTCACTTTCTTTTGTACAGTATCAAACCAATTTCAAAATTATTTTTCTGGTAAATGGTACGTATCAAGAATGACGATAGATTCATCAATAATAGACCTGATTCCAATAATCTCAGCCAGAACTGATTTTCACCTCTTTCTCTTTCAAGCATAAACTATGCTTGAGGAAGCACTTTGTACATGAGGAAGCTATTGTATAGCGAAACACGTGTCGCGGTTTTTGTAAACATTTACTGCTTCCTCAAGCATAGTTTATGCTTGAGCAAGCTATTGTATAGCGAAAAACGTGTCGCGGTTTTTGTAAAATCCTTTTATAGTGAAAATCATACAATAAACTGTATTGATTTTTTTTTAAATGATAAATAAACATTTATATGAAATGGCTACTTTTCCCTACGTATGTCATAAATAACATAACATAAATACTCTTTTCTTCTCTATTTTCATAATAAATATATTTTTCAATACAACTTTTCCAAATGTTTTTTTTTGTATCAGCTTCTTTATTTCAGGAAATATAAAAAATATCTTTTTGTTTCATCTCATGTACATTAAGTACAAGAAAAATAATTGGTAGATACTAGTGAAATCTTGGTTTCGAAATACTTATTTTTTTCTTCCCAGAGTAAAATCCACATGGGACAAACAACGAAAGCAGAAGGCCGAGTGGCATACATGGTCTTTTTGATGATCGTCGCTTTTATTGTTGCGTGGTCGCCCTACGCAATTTCGGCCTTGTTAGTGCAATTTGTGGATTCGTCGTTCATCTCTCCAGCCGCTGGCGTTGCTCCAGCCTTGTTAGCGAAGAGTAGTATATGCTACAATCCAATTATATATGTGGGCCTAAACAGTCAAGTGAGTATCTGAAAATTCGAAAGAAGTTAGTGACGTCAAGTCCAATTAAATGCGATCTGTGGATATCAAAACTCATTGTTGGGTCATCGGAATAATATACCCCATAAAACACATGCTCTCTTCTACATCTGAAATACGAAGACACGGCAGTGAAAGTTAATGTGCGATAGAGCACTCGTTCGGATGACAGAGGAGACTGGTGTCGGTTGTAACAATTTTCACAAATTGTTTTTTTAGGCCAGTTGAACTTTTTGAAATTTTTAATTCACTCTAACCTGTGCTAGGTACTCTATAATAGAGTATCTTCATCTCAGAAGCTAACTGAGTAATACAGAAATGACATTATGACCCTTCGATGTAGTAGAACATATATTTCATACGACGATGATAGAACATATATGTTCACTAGAAATAAAAACCGTAACAAATCCTGGTAACATATTTTAGACATAAAAAACTTTATCACTTTCAGATCCACGATTGAAGCAAATATAGAATGAGCTCTTATTCGTACAATTTTAATGTGTCCAATGCTTACATTCGCAAAAATGTCACCAACCTACGGAACCTGATGCATATGGACCACCACACACCAAGCACAAAACATCTCCATCGCATTTTCCATTTTTTCTTGCATATTGTGGATGAGAACGATATTTTTTGGGAATTTCATTCAAGCTGGACTTTACGCTTGACGGTATGCATTTACTTTGAATTTTCTTCAATCAACATCTTCTCCGGTGTATCAATCAGTATAGCCGTCTTTCATCGCATTATTCCCCATTTTTTGAGTTTGATCAGATCTGCTTTCAGCAAGGGCTTTATATCTCAAGGCAAAATAAAAGCTGCTGGATTATTAGGCTTGAGTGAAAAAGTAGTGAGTCTTTCTGGTGATTAGGTAGTGGATGGACCCGGTTGACTTTACACGTGACTGTTGTTTGGAACTGTACATTCTGGTTGATAATTAATTTTCTACCGATAGGCCACTTCATCAAGAGCCTATCGGTTACAGCTGATACACTAAAATCACTAACTCTGAAAATCTTCCAATCAAAAGGCCAAATACATGTGCAGGAGAAACCAGCAATAATATTGGCTGGCAAAGTGACCAAAGGAAGTGATGTTCTCACAATTGAAGGCAAATCGTATATAATCACGTTTTCGCCAGGCTTGTTCTTCATCCACTGATCACCACCATTATCGAAATATTTCTTGAAAGGACCATACACCCCTACGATATAAAAGTTAAAGCTTTTGTGAAGTGTGCGGCGGAAATGAAAGTAGAGTAATGAAATTGGTTCTGCAAAATTGAGAAATTGAAATATGAGATGATTGGTTGTCCAACAACCAATTGTGATTGTATTGTCTAACAATGCAAGCACCTTGTTGACTTCACTTGGTCTATGTGTTTCACAAAATGTTTCATAAAATCAAGAAATTCATTATCCTGCATCCATCCAAACTTATTTCCAGTTCCTATACATCCAACTGGTCCATCTCTAACAGAGTGGTCTTGAAAACGTAACTGTGGAAAGATGAACATTGGAGGTACGGTATTTTCTACTGCATTACCCGCTACACAGCTTTACTAGAGTTCCGCGTTCTGGAGATGATATGAATTCCACTTGCTTAGTTTCTTCCCTAGCTATAACTATGGATGGTTTCTGAACAGTCGAAACACTTTTGTCGTCAATGTTTTGAGGTTCAAAAGAATATCTGTCTAAAACAGATGACAATTTATTAGAAAAATTGCTTACATTTTCTCTATTATAGTTCATGGATTGCGAAAGGCTAGTATCATCGGGCATATGAAGACTCAAATTTGGATTTCGTCGCATAAAAGCATTATGCCAGTCTTCTCTTGCATGTCCAGTCATGATTCATGAGTAGGATAGGTTATAACAATTTGCAAATTGAAAAGCTAACTTGTGAAGATTTTTTGTGTTTAATTTTTAATATGAATTCATAGGCCTTTTGCGATATTTAGCGAGCTGTAACTCTTGTCCTTCATTGCATATTCTGTTGTTAGAATTGTATACAACCCGAAGCTGTGGGTTTTCACGTAACGATTTAAAATAGCGATATATAAAGAAACGTGGCACATACCACAATCTTCAGCCACTTTTCCAATAGACTGATTGGTATCTATTACCCTCCCAGCTACTTCTTCATAAATAACTTTTGGTGTTAACCCTCTTTTCGTTTTTTGGCCTTGGCGCCACCATTTTTAATCGATGTAAGAAATGATTGAACTTCATAAGAAAACAATATATTAGGTGTCAATTGTAACATGTTACAAGCGACACTGCAATGTTTCTTACAATCGACACCAAGTTAACCTATACATAAGAAATATGATTTTTGTATACTTTTGCTTTTCGTAGAAAATATGAGCTATAGTAAACGAAAGTATAGATGAGAAAAAAGACCTTACTTACTTTGAAATATTTTAGAGTTGACGTTTGAGAGGGATAATCAACAATTTGTGGAACAATTGAAGTTTACTTTTATAGTCAAATACAAACATGTGACTGTAACTCACGCAGTAGGCTACGGCCAACTCTGAAACTACGTTGGGTGGTTAGTGGTTTTGATTTAATTACGAATATAGGGTCAGGATCACTGTGGTTACAATCGACCCCTGTTTCAATTGACACCAGTCTTCCCTACATAGAAGGTATTTACAGACGTCGGTATTTTTGTAGACATCAGGAACAATTGATAACATATTATTAAACACATTTGTATTGATTTTTTGAGTGAGAATCAACTGTATTGTAGAAAATTCAAGTGATGAAAATGGCCGATACTAGATTGAATTCCATAAAGTATTCAAGAAAAATTGTCTGATTTCCATTGAAAAGTATCGATTATACCTAAAATGTTTTTCTGAGGTGTGTTCATAAGGTGTGAACATCCTCGAAAAAGCTATTGTATAATGAAACTTGCAGTTCCAGTTTTGCAAACTGTCCAGTGAAAATCTCACGACGAAGTGTAAATTGCATTTGTAAAACGATATAAATTAAACAACATATGTAAAATAACTTTTCGAGTATTGTCGATGCATTCGATGAATGTCTTAACTTTGACGAAATAAAAGTAGATGAAAAGACTTCATCACTGATATTGAATTAAAATAGACGTTGGGAATGAAGAAATAATAAAAATTTTTGTTGTTTCAGTTTCGACAAGTTCTCAAAAACTTCTTGGGTATGAACGATAACAACGTGGGTAGTACCTGTGAAACGTATGATATGGCAGTTTCAAAGTTCGTTTCCACTACAGTTGTCAATAGTCCGGTGAACGGCGGCAGAGTGACTGTCCACACTCCAAGAAATATGCTGCAGATAAAGCAAATGAGAGAAAAAAGTTCCTTACTGAACGATATAAGACTTAATAAAACGAGGTTCTTCGAAGAGTATATTTGTGAGAGTGCAAATGGAACTTCTAGTCGAATATAGAGCGAGTGAGTTGGCAAATTGTAATTCCTGATGACAGGCGGACTATTCTTGTCAGAGTTTTTGTACAGACCCTACTGAAAATTTGATGTGATTATATTGTGATTGTATTTTGTGAAAGATAAGCATTCTACAACTCTCAGAAAAATTATTCCAATTGTTGATTCACAACAAAAGGTTGCATCTGCTTTCTTCAAAAAACCTAGGTTACATATTACTAGTTATAGAGAAAATTAATTTTGTTTTTCCAAAAAATTTGAAATGTTAGCCTGGTTAATACAACATTCAATTTCAGTCGCAGAAAATTGGAAAAAAGTTTCAATATAGCGTGTTATGTAATGTAATGTAATGAACTAAGCATATAAATTGATAGAAAGGAATCTGAAAAAAAAATTTTGGAAGTTCAAGCCAGTCTCGGATATACACATTAGGAATGAACTTACGCCTCTCAGAAAATAACTACTCTCCTGGCTACTATCACGAACAGTATTGGATTATATCCGACAGGCGACAGTGCAGAAATCATAACAGAAAATTTCCTGCATATGCAATTGGCAATACAACTGAAAGAGTCGACCCTCAATTTTGGAACGGGCACACTTGCAGACCGCTTTCGGGCTCCTTAGCCACTCGTCAGTGCGAAATAGTGATCAATAGAATCTCCCTGACGTCGTATATGTGGTTCTGTTTCCTAGAGACTAGAACCAGTACTAGCGGGAGTGGTTTCTTATCTTGTTTTCTCAGCCTGGCTACCGATATGGTATCGAATCCTTTGGCTTTTAGGTCATCTTTGATTTCGTTGATTTCAAGAAATTCAGGGACGCCTTGAAATACAACTCTCAGAGGTTTTGCCTCCTGCATTGTGTATGTGTGATGCGGGATGCTCTCTTTGACTAGCATTTTGGCCATTTTTCTAAAGTCGTCCGGGCTAGCGGGGGGTTGGACTTTCACTCCGTCGTTGGTGTTTACCGCTTTCGTGAATTTTATGTTTTCCCTTGCGGCTATTTCGTTGAACTTGGACCACTTGTCTTTACGTCTTATTTTAATGGGTGGGGGTCTAATTGTTTTGGGGCTCGTTGCCTGTGATGTAGTTGGCATCGCAGCCGCTTCGTCCTGAATTTCGGTTTCCATCTCTTCAGATGGGGGATTTTCTACGGGTTCCTGAGGTTTTTTCCTCATTGAGTATCTGAATTTCTTTGTTCTCAGGGTGGTTGGCTCTGAGTTTCTTGGACTTCCTTTGCGGGATTTCCATTTTTCCTGTTTTTGACGCCGCATTTTGTGCCGGCGTTTTGGTCTTTTTCGCTGATAGTTGTTGTTTTGTGGGAGACTCTGTCTCCGTAGGACGCTTTTTATTAAGAGTCGCCTCCTCTTCCAGACTTTCTTCAGAAGAATAGCCTAGCATGTCATCTGGTGATTCGTAACCACAGGCTCTTTTTTGTACAAGTTCCTGTCTCTTTTTGCGCATTAATATATGCGTGGATACGAGTTCCTGTGGGGACACTTCGTATAAATCTAAAAATTTAGAAATCTTGGCCAGAACTATGTCTCTCTTCTCGCTACTAGCATTGACGACAAATGTGTCAATAATTTCGTCCATTTTTGTATGTTACTTCTTGTTATGTAATCAAAATTCTTTTTAGAGTATTTCATTCCTCGCCTTGAGTTGAAGCGAACAACAAAAATGTCACTCCATCTAGTGGACGAGGTACTAACCAACTACATATCTGAAATTTGCCCGATTCCTCTGAATAAGGAAAAAAAACTATATTATTAGTCAGTGAGCTATGCTTGAAGACCGGCAGTAAACAAATCTAAAGAAATGAAATTTAAATCTTCAAGCTGGGCTCGGATATACCTACACAGTAGGTTGAATGGACTGACGCCTATCAGAAAACAACTACTCCCCTGGCTAATGCCACGAACGGCTTTGGATTATATAAAACAGGCGTCAATCCAGGAATTTTCACAGAAAATTACCTGCATATGCAACTGGCAATACAACTGAAACACTCGACCCACAAGAATCCCCGAGTCTGAGTGAGATACATTGAAGACACCTTCACAATATGGAGCCATGATAATACAGAACTAGTCACCTTACTGAAGCACATCAACAGCGAAAAATATTCCATCACCTACACATATGTATAACGAAAACCTACTCAAACAAATCCAATCACAATCAATCTAGTGTGTCGTGCTTTCGGGCTCTGTAATACGAAGGAAGATCTCGAGAATGAATTAGGCATCATCAAAAAATCTTTAACGAAATGGTTACTTCAAAGTGATGGTGAAACAGGTTTTGGCTAGACGACAGCCAGAGCCTCACAAGGAAGAAAAGCCGTCACAAATAGTGCTTGACCTTTCCTACGTCAGAGGTTTGTCGAAAAAATTATAAAAATTGGGTCCAAGTACAACATTAGTACCTGCTTCAGATCCGGGGACACCATCCGTAGCAATCTCACGAAAACAGGCCACCAAAGGCAATATCGAAAATTACATTTTTTGGATACCCTGTGAGTGAGTCGGATAACCTATGAGTGCGGCGAATCATATATCGGTGAAACTGAAAGGCCATTGAAAATTCGCATTATCGAGCACAAGAAAAACACACAGCGAGGAGAAACCAGCGAATCTAAAATAGCAGAGGAATTTTGGACTCATCAACATAACATCCAGTGGTCCCGAGCTGAGATCATCCACAGAGAGGAACACTAGATCAAGAGGAAGTTCGAAGGAGATGCAAATATATTGTACAACGACATATTCTGCAAAGTCAGCGTAAATATACGCAAAATAACACCTACTTTGTGGAGAATACGTATCAAAAATGATACAAATGTGATAAACTGGAATAAACTCTAATTACATTTCGGAAAAGCAGAAAATCTGTAAAATTCTCAATCTAAGATACATATTGGTATCTCAAAAGAATCAGGTCATTTCTTTCATTTATTTTTTGATCAAAATACAAAACAGCCAATACTGGCTGCTCGACCCACCCAAGTTCATGAAGTCTAGACCATTTTCAGTAATATGAAAACATCCAATCGTGCGAATCGTGCAAAAAGGGGGACAGTTGAAATCGTTCGAATGACCTATAAATAGTCATCTCTCGGATAAATATTCCAGTGATAACCCGATTGTGAATTCTTACAATCGAAACGTCGTGAAGTAACTTGGCTTGAATCCTTATATTGCTTGATTTGGTTGTTATTTGTAGCTTTTCCTTTTGATCTTATTTGTTCATTCAGATATTACAAATCATATTATGTATTATAAGACAATGCGAGTCCAAACCAGTATGAGTTTCTAAAGACAGAGTTATTGGTTGATACGATTTTCATTATTATTATTTTTTTGGTGTAGTTCCAGTAAGTTGCTATATATGTTGCTGAGATTATCAATGTCAATGAAAAGGTGAGTAGAATTTTTTTTTCTGTGAAATTTTGATATAAGGGTAAATTGGTTTATGTTCTGTTTCTATAGAGTGTTGTGTTAATGCACTTGATTTCTTATTGAGTTTTATGTTACTTTTATGTGATGTTATTCCATCATTAAGAATTCTAGATTTTGTTTCAATATAATCCAAGTTACAATTGTTACAAGGAATGTTATAAATTACATTCGACTTTATGTAGTACCCGTTTTATTTTCAATTTAGTATTCAGATTTTTCACAGTTATGATTTTTTGTTTGCATATTTTGATATTTTGTTCATTATGAATAAGTTTTATGTTATGTTGAAGATGAATTTCCAAAATTAGGTACAGCTTCATGAGAAAAAACGATTACTGAATTATGAATACATTGATTGTATCAGAAATTGTATTATTGCCAGTATTGAGTATTATTTCATTCAGGAGTTTTCTGGGATTATATTAGAACGACATCTAGAATTTTTCTTGATGATAGAATACCATCATAAACGAGTGATACAAAACTCAATGAGGAACGGTGTAGATTAGCACAACACTTTATAATAATAGAACGTGAACCAAATTACTCTAATATTAAAGTTTTACGTAAAAAAAAAATCATACACATTCTTGTTGATACGGTCGGAATCAATATGTCTTCTGATTCTATGAATGGAAAACTGACATTGATAATCTCAGCAATATATACAGTAACATACTGGAACTACACCCGAAACATAATGATAATAATGAAAATAGTATCAACCAATAACTAACTTGCCTTTTGAAGTAAACGATTATACTATCAAATCATCATGCTATATTGATGAATGACATTTATGTTAAGGTATGATATTGGCCGAACGAAAGAAAGAAAAATCCACAACTTAATAAATTCAAGGGCCTGAAAAAGCTTTCTATTGAAAGCAAAAGCTTGGCAAAGTAAAACAGAGTTTTGGTTTTGATTTTGGACTGAGGAACCCCGTTGATCCATTTTTCATTCGTTGAGATAATCCACTCACAATCACAGTGAGAAATGAGGTAGTGAAGAGTGCAAAAAGGTACCTTCAGAAATACTAAACCTAGAAAAAAAATAACTGAAACGTTGTAATGTTGAAAAAACTCTTTGACAAACAGAAAAGAGAGATGATGTATTTAATGTTCGCTGATATTCAATATTGATACTTCCACTACTAATGGTCAAATGTTTGGAAAATATTTGTTGACCTGTTTTAGGAGCAATCATTCTAATTAATGGGAGATAAACTGGGAAACATCATATAAAAAAAAGGATATTCACACTTTCAAAAGGAATTATTGAATTCAAAGCGTGATTTTATTTAATGTCGTAGGAAGCCTAAGAGCTTTCGTTTCACAAAAGACTTTTCATCTTTTGATTATAAATGAAACCAGACAACCGATACAATATTTTCAGCTGATTTGTGAAGGGGTGTTTTCATCTTCGTTTGAGTGTTTGGTCGATCCCCTTAATGACATCTCTGTTACTATTTATTTTCGACATCGCTCATTATTTCAGAGAGTAAAGAATTTTATTATCACATAGTGAACATTTTTTTATTCAATCTTCAGACTCTCATCTAAGTATTAATTTCTGGGAATGTTCCCGAATTTAGATTATTTTTCCAAATGCTGTATAGATTCCACTAAATCTTTTCATCTATCCAACTTTCAAGTGGAAATACACGAATCATTTTAATTGGCATCAGGCTTCTGACAATCGGATATCAGCTCAATTAGCAACAAGAAAATTTGTTACAATGAAAATAATCTCTTCAATTGTTAGCATTCCATTGAGCAGTAATGGAATATAAATGTTCGAAAATTCTTTTGTGTCAGATTTTTTCCATATGCCAAGCTTTTTTGATTGATTTAAGTATGTTCCATTCATAAAGTCTCGAGAAGATAATCATTTGGAATGGAATTCTGGAAATTTATATCCGAAATCCTTAGCCGTGTCTACAAATGTACGTTGATAGAAGCTAAAAGCTCGATAATTCTCTGTCGTTTCTACAATTTCAAATTGTTGTTCATATACCTATACCTATATGTAACAACCAATCCAGAAATTGACACAGTCACCGTGAGGTTCCCATTGGGATCCTCTAACCATAAACTTATTTCAGTGTTGGGTGAATTACCGATAAATGTTTGGGAACAATCTAATCCGCGCAAAGTTTGACATTACAGATCAGCTGAATGGGACGATCTTCAAGACCATTTCCGAAATTTTCCCTGGATTAATATTTGTTTGAACTCTGAATATCCATCAACTTGTGCTTCTGAAGTCAAAGAAGTTATTCTGTCATGCATGTATGCATATATTTCTTTTTCAATTAAACGACCTTCTCACTAACTTGCTATCCAATCCCAACGAGTCTAGATCCTTCTGGTCGGCAGCTCAAACTGTTATTCAGAACTTTACAAAATACACAAGTTCACCACTAACACAAGCGGATGGTTCAATTGCAACAACAGTCATAGAAAAATCAAGTGTAGTAGCTGAAAAATTTCCGTTCCACTCCCCAGTCAATTTTCTGGGGAAGCACCACCCACTATTCCCACACTGGAATCCACAATACCGAAAATTACTTTTCGAAAGCGTTTAGTCAGGCGAATTTTGAAACAGATCGATATCTACAAGGCGTCTGGCTCTTATGAAGTGACCGTCATTGTACTCAAAAAGTGCGTAAATGAACTCCATATTTTTAGAAGATTGCTCGCGTTCAACCTATTCCCTAAAAGGGCAAGAGAAATAGTCAGAAGAACTATAGATCAGTCGCTTTGATATCAGTGATATCAAAAAGCATGAAAAAAGTGTTGAGCCACCATATGCTCAAATATTTAGAAGGCTTCAACATTTTGAACGGATTATCAAAAAGGCTTTCAGAAACAAAGATCAACAGGCAACCTTCTATCGTATGTCACAAATATTTCAAATAACTCAATCGAAAAACAATCACTCAATCAACAATCAACTCAATCTAGAAACATGGGGAATCAAGAGCTATTGCGCTTGATATTTCTGAGGCCTTTGACCGTATGGGGCATGAGGGTTCGCTGACCAAACTTCGATGCTAAGACTTGTTGGATCATTTTTGTGTATGGCGCTTCAACTTCCTGAAAGTTGCCGTTGATGGATATCTCTCGAATACTTTCACCATCAACGCTGAGGTTTTCCAGGGATTCATATGGTCTACATCCCCCTTTTTACTGTATATCAACGACTTATTGAAAAAAACCAAGAATCCACTATATTGCATTGCTGACGACAGCACACTTGTCTCGTCATTCCATTTGGATTCCAGCATAACGGCTACGGAAGGTTGCATATCTTAATGAGGAACTAGAAGTGATTCCGAATCAGAGTGAAAGTAACCAGGTTCAATTCAATGCCATAAAAACCCAGGCATCGGTTTTGTCCAAGAAGATAAATGTCTCTGAACCGGATATAACAATGTGAGGTCAGACAATTCCGCATTCTGCTTCGATAATTTTGTTGGAAGTTAAAATGGACTCTGAAATGTCATGACGCTGGAATTGCAACTGCTGCTTCTTGAAAGTTCGGAAGACTGTTCCGAACGAAAAAACTGTACACACTTCAGCTTCATAAAGCTCAGATCATATCTTTTTTGGAGTATTGTTCTCATGTATGAAGCTCTGCCCCCAAAAATACCCCGAAGTTGCTGGATTCCATCCAGAAAAGAGGCATCCGCCTGATCGGAGACGCAAATATTAGGTGCAACTTCGAAAGCCGGGATCATCGAAGAAAAGTTGCAGATGTATCTCAACTCTATAGATACTTTCATGGGAAGTGACTTGGCACAATCGATTTCACCAAGAGCGGTACATATCAGAAATACGCGACAGACTGTGGCTGCTCATTTTATTCAGGTTCAAGTTAGTACACCTCGAACACAACTGTTTTTAGAACTCTTTCATGTGGAAAACTGCGTTTATATGGAATACACTTCCTGACAATATTTTTTCAAATGGATTTAATCTCCAGCGATTCAAATCCAATGTGAATTACTATTTTCACACAGGCACCGCTCTGAGAGAGCGTGTAACCTAGATAAAATAGAGCCTCTCTAATTTCGCTATCATTGATCAAAATAGTTACATGACACCCATATCACTTCAAAAGTTACTTAGTAGGGAAGTTTCCCCTATAGAAACAAACTATGCTCGAAATTGCAAATACGATGATTAGTTAAATAGGTTAGGCGACAAGATGATTGTTAACAAAATAAATATGTCCTCACCTGAAGACGATTGTGGATACTAACAATGGAAACGGACAATGGAAGTCGGTACTGGTAGATATAATTGAAAATGAAACATTGTCAACCACTTTTAAACAAAATCAATATGTACCATGTATTTATAAAGAAGGATTTTTCATTTGCTGTTCTACAAGCAAGCTACAGTTTTTTATGACCATGTATGATCGACAATATGTGTCAATTCTGACAATATTTTGATGTCACAAAATTGAAAAACCATTTAACCAAATAAACGGCAACACACTCCAACGGGTTCCAAATGTTTAATATATGTTTATCAGGTATGAAATGATAAATGAAAATGAAATGACAAACCATATCATTGCCAAACGTCTGGGTGTTTGTCAACATTTGTCAGTAAACTACTTGGACCTGTTTTTTCATTTGTCTTGGTGACGTGTTTTTATTTGTTTGCATGATACTGCGGATTATTTAGCGCACTATTTTCTCTGGTGGAAGTTTTGATTTGTTTTCGCTGCGACAGGTCCGACAGCAAGAAAACGATGAAGAAATCAGGTGTTACTACGGCTGTGGAAGTGAATGCTCTGAAATACGAGAGATTATTGCTGGAAACCCCTCGATTGGAAAGACTGTATCAGACTCAATCGATAACAAAATGGATACCTCTCAAATTGAACCCATGATAATCACCTTTGGAGAAAGTGGGATGGGGGCAATTGCATACAAAAAAAATTTCAAAGAAACCTTTTGTCTGGAATTTGCCAAACTGAATCAATATATAGACGTAGCTCATGATTTGAGACGTAGCTCAAAACCTCCAGCTCACAATTTCAGAAGAAAATGAATGAAAAAATCACTCTGCAGTATTTTGATACTAATATCAAGGTACTATGCTCACTGCCGTCGTCGTCGTCGTTTCGGCTCTTAATAAATAGGCAACTAAATTGATCATTGTATGCTCACGTTTGTTTTTCGATATTCACATTTTCAATTTATAACTGAATTATTTCGTTCTAGTCATAACGAACGGAGGTGAACTGGACGCGACCCATAATCGTTCATGTATTATGAACGCAGATAACTTATGGTTTTAACGATTTATCCATTGACAAATAATATGTCGATAATATGTTGCCAGTTATTTTTTCGTCCTATATTGACCAAACAGCTAATCGAAATTTTTTATATATATTGATATATTAGTAAACACTCGCCGCTAATGCAGGACAATATTTGATAACTGTTGATGAAGTATTTCTGCGATTTGGATGTTCAAGTATTTTCAAAATAAAATTAATAAAATATATGTATAGGTTATGTGATATTTTCTGAGAAAAATCCCATTTTTGTCAAAGATGGCCATTTTTTCAATTATTCATCATCATACATATCATCGTTCGGTTCATTTGGAATAAGGGTAATGAAAATATCTCTAAAAATATTTTTGAACTACACAATACGTTCAGAAGTTTTTCCAAATGTGATTTGTATACAATAAAACCAACTTACGATAAGACAGATATTTCCCGATTTCCTTGAATCTTATAAAATTATATGTTGGTTCGATTAAAACTATGATCGATGAAGTCTTTCGATGATACGAAATGAATAAAATGATTTAATATTGCTGTGAATTGTACTACACATACTTTTCGAATGAAATATACTATATTTTTGTACGATGTGATTTAATATTTAGATAAAACCCAGATCTTCACGAATCTGTAGCCTATATTATCATTTTGAAGTAGTGCGTATCATTCAACATGGATGATACAGGTGTATTCAAATTCGAATCTATGCATAGGGATCTAGGTAACGATACTGGAAAGAAAGTAGGTCAAATGTTGGCAAAGTTGGCTATTTCCGATAACTGTTGAGTGGTAGGTACCGACTTCAGCTCCGTTGGTTCCGGAAATATACGGAAACAAAAATATTTTTAAAATTCTATTCTCTCCTGTATCTTCTTCATTTCAAGAAGTATACATACCATAGAATTTCTTACAACTTTCAGAATGAAACTTTCATGCAGTGTCATTCGACATGGAATACCCTTAACGTTAGATGTTTGAATACGGACATATACTATTTTGTGTTGATTTTTCAACAGGCAACGTTCATATAATATTAATGAATCTTTTTTTCCCTCGATATTTCTGTAGTTCAAGAAATTTAGTGTTTATCAAAAAATTAGTATTTTTCATTCAAATAACACTTCAATGTGTAGTACAACATACACGTCAATCATAATCGAATAGGCTTAACTGGGTTTTATCATTAGTGTGAAGTTAGCCACGCTTTTCCATCCACAGTCTCTGACGTGCTGACTGTCAATGTTGGGATAGAGGCGATATTGTAAGCAGTGTTGCCAAGTTTCTCATAAATGTAAGGCTGGTATTTAATTGGGCGATATCATACAAATGAGCCGAACAGATCAAGAAACATTTTCTAAACGTATATACAAAGAGAACTTGAAATGAAATTTGACACTGATAATTATTCATAACAGTATTGAGTAAGCATAGGAAGCGTATTGACAGTACCGATTTTGACACGCATTATTATTTTTTTTGAAGATATTTTATTGAACAATGAAGATCATTGATCATCCTGTTCATTGATCGTGAGATAGCTTTGTGTTATTAGAATAGAAAATATATCAGAATAATTGTTAGATCTTTTACTTTGGAACGTCTTGGATTATAATTTGGAATTTCTTCGTCATTCCTTTATGGAATGAATTGATATGTTTTTCCAAGGTCTTATCTCAGTCAATATCACAATGAAACGTAAACCGTCCACAGGTTTAATTTTTCGTAAATGTCTCGAGATATTTCATGAATTACCTAACTTCAGTATTTCGTTGAGGTCGAATTCAAGATTTTGTCATTCCTGAAAGTTTTTGCAAAAGTTCACTGTCGAAAAATCGATGGGGAAACTGTATTGACACTGATTTATTCCTGGTGTTTCCGTATAATTCTCAAACATAATTTCGGTGGTAGATATTTTGGAAAGAAATTGCACTGTGTCTTCTCGTTGTACATTATATTCACTCCTGAACTTAGGCTTGGATTGAAGTTTCAGGTAACCGGAACTGAACTTCCCCGTTACATCACGCACTGTTCCAAAGTGTACTAACTGGAGATTTATTTCAGACTTACAGTCACCCTTGTGATTTCGGATTTTTACATGAATAAAGGCGGGTACAAATTCGTTTCAAGATTTGCCGGCAATCTGAAATAACAAGAATTTGATAGTACGAGGATTTATGGCTCTATCAATTACTACTTCAATCATTGTGTAGGCATTTGCCGCAGTCATTAACGCATTACATTTTAATTTCGTCGACCCTCGAATACTTGCTCATATAGTGTTTCATTATCGACAAAAGCCGTAGAAGGAGCTCTTTACAAGATTTGATCCAGTATTCTCGGATATCTTACAACCTTTGCGAAGCCGTTTTTGGTGTTCCAAAGTTCACATTTTTTTTTTTAATTTTACCTACTTCTCGTGTATGCCTGACTTTTGGAAGACGCCAAAGCTTTATTGTATGTGACAAATCATTTGATGCCATGTTTTTTCTTTGCCACATTCCTACAAATCAAATACATGCCTTGAATTGAAAAATGATCTGAAAAAGTTTTCTCAAACTCAAAATGAAACATCACATGTACTTCTAGAATCTAAAGTGGAATGTTACTTGAAAGAGAACTACGAAACTAATGTAATGAAGGTTCAAATAAATCACCTTCTTGTGACAAACAACAGCAAAATCTATGATGAAGAGCTGATCTCATATCTCTGAGGTACATTTTTCAGTAATTTTTCTCGAGAGAATTTATATGGTTGAAGCTGGGATGATTCTGAGATCGTCTTAGGAATCACACGTTGAAAGGTAAGACCTCATCAGTACTTAGCTCGCACAAGTTTCTCGACTTCTGAGAGTTGTCGTTCGTATGGGGGCGACAGCTGATTAACGAAAAAACAGATTTCAAACAGATTACTGGTCGTGGATTGTGACTCAAACAACTTTCCTTGAAACAAATGTTTTCAATATTGATGAGAAGTAGATGAACTCTTGGAATAATTTGATTTTGTAGTATCTGAAGGTATTTGACAGCATTCCGGCGACCATCGATGAAGAATGGACGTATAATATAGTCTCCTGATATTCATGTCTGAACATTGAGGTTTAATGAGTGCTGAGTCTGCACAGAAAAACTTGAATGCGGAATAAAAACATGATCACCATGCACATTTGCATCTATCGAGTAACATAAACAAGCCTCCTTACGCTGGTTAATCATATCTAATTGCAATCGGCTGGCGAAATTTATTGTTACAGTTTACGTTGTTACATTTTAATGCCTGTGGTGTGTACATATATACGGTATTTTGAAGTTTAAAATTTTTGAAATGTCAAGTACTGATACGGCTAAAAAAACTGCTTATTTGTGTCCCTACACTCCACCCAAAAAATATTTCTATACCTAGCCACATATTATTAAGAAAAGCCGATCATTTCTAAGTTCGACTATGTACAAGCAGCCTTGTCTGGGAGATCACGTGCACTATGTATGATAATGTTTCGAGGCATTCTGTTGCTTGGTTGGATGCTGATTTTCTGAAGACTTATATCAAACAATGATAATAATAATGTATAATAATAATAATGTTTATTGGCAATCTCAAAATACAAAATACGATACGTTACATCAGACAATAAACAAGGGCAGAATGAATGCCACTAAAACCGATTTGGTTGTGCGTGGAAGGGTTTCCGGTTCTTGTATTGCTAACAGGTGTGCTACTTGCACGGGTATATACATTAACATCTAATTTATACAAAAGTGATTTTTTTAGTAAAATCTTATAGCTACTTTGAAACATTATGGATACGTTAAAATGATTAAAACCTTATAACTATGTTGGAACATTCTAGATTGATTGGTTCAATTGGTAAGTGTATTCGATTAAGAAGTGTACTGTATCTTTCCCAAGTTGAACAATGAAATTTTTGAATATTCTTTTGATCATATTCAGTGAATAGTGCGAAATAAGAAGTATTTTGAATGTTTCGGGTAAGTGATTGAATATTTTAGATGATAGTTAAGTATAGTTTCGTGTTACCACATTTATTTTAGTTTGTATTGTTTGGACATGTTCATTTTCTTTATGCCTTTAGTTCAGATTTGTTTTTGTAGATCTATATGATTATTTGATGCATAAACAGTTGTCTGAGGTCGAGTATACCTGTTTCTTGGAATAGTATATTGGAGGAGTAGTTTTTTTTTGCCATAGATTATTTTCAAAATTCTTTTTTGGAGGACATCGAATTGCTTCAAATGTGTTTTACCTGAACCACCCCAGCTGAGAATGGCGTATTGTAGTCTTGACTGTAGTAGTATATCATTTTTAGGTAAGTGATGTCAAGTATGTTTGTTAATTTTCTGAATCTATATAATAAGCATCTTAATGTCATCGTTATATTCGTTATGTGAAGATCCCAGCGCAGATTTTCATCTATTGTTACTCCTAAGTACTACATGTCGTTTCCCGAATGTATTACTTCCATATTTCCGCTATGTTCTACGTTCAAATTATCAAAATTTGGTAGTATGCTTTTATTATTGGCGAATGGAATGAAAAATGTTTTTTTTAAATTGACAGTTGATATTTTTTGACTGAACCAACTGAATATGATTTTCAGACAGATAATAAGTCATTTATATAAATGGAGAAGAGTATTGCTTCAAAAACTGTACCTTGGGGTACGTCGTAGTTGATTACCCCTTCTTCACTTAGTACATTGGTAATTTTCACTACTTGTCTTCTATCAGAAAGGTAACTAGTGAGTAGTTTTTTCGGTTCTCCTCATAATCCTTTATCGTCCAAAGTTTTTAACAACTGTTCATGACTAAACGTGTCAAAAGCCTTGACCAAATCCAGGAACATGAACAAATTGGGCTGACTCTTATCTAAGGACGTGGATACTTTTTTGGTTATGATTGATCCAAGGGTTTCAACCCTTAAAGCCAACCTCGATTTGACCGATTAATATTAGGAAAGGAAAACTGGTTTCAGAATTGTTCACCTTACCTTTCTTCTGGGCGGATCCCTGGGCGACGACGAATTTCTAATCCAGGCCTTTTCTACGGTCAGTAGAGCCCTATTCATGTCAATTAGAATTGTTTTTTCTGTACAACTGAATGCTTTTTTTAAAGTAGACTACAACACCGTCATTTTTGTTTAGGTTTCCTTTGGAATATAACATATTATAATTTGGGTGTTGAAAAAACACTAGTT